TACCTCATGACTCATACTCTCACTCAATCCCCATTTTCTATGACTACCTTACCTCATGACGCATAGTTCTGCCTGACTCTTGATTAGATACAAGATAAGCATCGCCTTTATCACCTTGTTATCGGAGAGGGATAGTCCATGTGTCTTGTTATCTACGCCTAGTCTTCCAATTGTTGTCAGGAGGGAGGTGTGTGTTGGTAGACTGAGAGAGATGAAAAGGGAAACAGATATTGGTTTTTAATTATTTTTTGTTTGAGATATTTGTTTGTTTTTTTGTTTGTTTTTTTGCGGTTTTGGTTTTTGTTTACTTTTTGGTTGGTGTGATTTTTTGTTTTTTATAATGGTTGTGCTGGAAAGGAAATTAGAAAAAAAAGGATTGAAAATTTAAAAAATGATTCTTGGCTAAAGCAATTAAGTGAAATTAAGAGAAACATATATACACGAACAACTACAAAGGAAAAAAAAGTGTCATGCCAAGAATAAACCCAAACGACAAACAATAACAATAATAACTATAACAACAACAAGAGACCAATCTCACCCCCCAAAAAAAAAAAAATAATAATAATAATAATAAATAAATATATAAATAGAAAAATGAAAATAAAGATAATAAAAAAATAATACAAATGAATAAAATAAATAAATCAAATTAACACCAATAAATAATGAAATGAAAAAGAAACTCTTCCCTGCCATTCAGAAACTTTCCAAAGCTCGAAATCCCAGAAGTGCTGCTGCCACCATGTCCTCGATCCTCAGTCAGACCGCAAGCAAGCACAATCTCGACGGTGCTTTAACGTGCTCTGTCTGCTTTGAATCCTATGGCGAGGGCGAGAGAAAGCCGTTGATGCTGCCGAGCTGTGGACACACTTTCTGCAAGCAATGTGTGCATGGAATTATTGCCAGTGAGAATAAGGGTAAGTGGGCGTGGGGAAGGGGGTGAGAGAGGAGTGGGGGTGGGGGTGGAGGGGGTGGGAGTGGGAGGGGGGGTGGGGGTGGGGGAGACTGGAGTCTGGGCAAGTGGGTGGGGTTGTGGAAGTCTGTGTGTGTGTGTGAGTGTGTGTGAGTGTGTGTGTGATTGAGAGAGAGAGAGAGGGAATGTGTGTGTGTGTTTGTGTGTGATTGAGAGAGAGAGTGTGTGTGTATGTGTGTGTGTGATTTGGTGTGTAAATGAGTGAGTGTGTGTGTGTGCGTGTGCATATCAATATTTGCGTGGACGAGAGCTTGGGAGAAAGTGCGCATATGCTTCTGTACATTTCCATTCGCACGTGCTTACAACGCACAAACACGTATACACCCTAACATACTTCAACCCCCCCCCCCCCCCTCTCTCTCTCTCTCTCTCTCTCTCAATCACACACACACACACACTCACTCACTCTCTCTCTCTCTCTCTCTCATTCTCTCTCTTTCTGTCTCTTTCTGTCTCTCTCTGTCTCTCTCTCTCTCTCTCTCTCTCTCTCTCATTCTCTCTCTCTCTCTGTCTCTCTCATTCTCTCTCTCTCTCTCATTCTCTCTCTCTCTCTCTCTCTCTCTCTCTCTCTCTCTCTCTCTCTCTCTCTTTCTCTCATTCTCTCTCTCTCTCTCTCTCTCTCTCTCTCTCTCTCTCTCTCTCTCTCTCTTATTCTCTCTCTCTCTCTCTCTCTCTCTCTCTCTATATATATATATATATATATATATATATATATATATATATATATATAAATTTATCTCTCTCTATATATATATCTCTTTCTCTCTCTCTCTCTCTCTCTCTCTCTCTCTCTCTCTCTCTCTCTCTTTCTCTTTCTCTTTCTCTCTCTCTCTCTCTCTCTCTCTCTCTCTCTCTCTTCTACAAGGCCTCATCATCCCCAAAAACAAACATTATCCAACGAGCAATATATCACCAAACTATTCACGCACGATACGACCATCAAACATTGCATTTAAGATGCAAATAATCACCGGTCCATTCCTTTGTTATCGATGCAACATCCTGACAACCATTTGATTAGAATCGCCTGGATATTGCACGCTGCAAACAGTTGAAGACCATTTATCGTGCCTCGATATAAGCATAGAGATGTGTTGCAAAAATCGGAGATAGGAAAATCCGAACTTAAGGCGAGACAGAAGATTATGTGAAGAAATAGTGATGTTTGCAATTTCATTGACGCGTAATGATATATGTTTTGATGATTATAACAAGTATGATGAATCTCATTTTTTTTCTTTTTATAATAAGTAGATATTATAATGATTGCTGTATTTATAACGAGGCTTATACTAGCCATCAATATATTCCCGATAAGAGCAAGTGTTGCCACTTAATCATGGAAGTATCAAATAATTATTTATTAACATCCATTCTTTATACTGATAACAATATGAAAAAAAAAATCACTTGCAAGTCCATTCAATCAGTGGTTCTGGAAGCAATTACGTAGATGACGATAAAATCAGTTATTACGATAATGACAAGAGAAGATGATGAAAAATATGATGAATGATACGAATAGCGATAATTGCAACATGGACAAGAACAGTGTTAGAAATAATGATAATAATTATAATGATAATAATAATAATAATAATAATAATAATAATAATAATAATAATAATAATGAAATAATAATAATGACAATAATAGTAATAATGATAATAATAATAATAATAATAATAATGAAATAATAATAATGACAATAATAGTAATAATAATAATAATAATAATAATGATAATGATAATGATAATGATAATGATAATGATAATGATGATGATAATAATAATAATAATAATAATAATGATAATGATAATGATAATAATAATCATAATGATAATATTAGCAATAATAATAATAATACTTATCGTGGTAATGATAATGATAATGAAGATGATGATGATAATGATAATGATACTGGCAATAATGATAATGATAATAATAATGATAATAATAGTTATATTGATAGTGATAAAAGTAATAGTAAAAAAAAGTAATAATGACGATAATGATAATGATGATAATAATAATATTGATAGTGATAAAAGTAATAATACTAAAAATGATAATGACGATAATGATAATGATAACGATAACGATAATTATATGGTAATGATTATATGATAATGCTGATGATAATACGTCTTATCCCTCTATTTATCGCTATTATCATTATCATTACGATCGTCATTTTAGTTGTTGCTACTATAGTCATTTTTTTTCATTACTGTTATTGTTGTTCTTTTTTAATATTACTGTATTTGTTTTTGTTCCTCTCTTTTCCTTGTTTTTTTAATTATAAAATAATCTTCTCTTTCGTTGTTTAAAGTCTTTATTACCTTCATTACTGCTATGATTATCAGGGATATCTTGTTGAAAAATAATGATAAAATGCAAATGCAACAACGTTAACTAAAACTTGCAAGGGAAAGGTATCAGCTCATCCCAAAAATGAAATACAGTAATACAGACAAATAAACGACAACAACAATAACCTGAACTGAACAAAAGACTAACGCTGCGTACCAATGCAAATACAAAAGAAACAAGAACAAACGACATCAAAAACAACAACAATAGTGCAAACATAAAAACGAAAGCAACATTAAAAACAACAATAGTGCAAGCATACAAACAAAAATATCAAAAACAACAATAGTGCAAACATAAAAACAAAAACATTAAAAACAACAACAATAGTGCAAACATTAAAAAAAACATAAAAACAACAACAATAATGCAAACATAAACACAAAAACAACATAAAAAACAATAACAACAAACAGAATTACAACAAAAACAACACTAACCTTCCTTTCCACCCCCCCCCCTCCCCCCCAGGACAGTTCCAGTGTCCAACCTGCCGTCGCAGTCAACCTGTTCTGTCCCTAGATGACCTGCCCGTTAACTATTCACTCCTGGAGGTGGCCAGCCTGTCTCCCACGACGCCTCCGGAAGAAGGCTTTAAGGAGAAGACCCTGAAGGAGGTGAGTTTTAGGGAAATCAGGGAGTTGGAGGATTTGTATGTTGTGAAGTGGATGGTTTATTGGGTGTGTGGGTGGGTGTGTTTGTGTTTGTTTGTGTGGGTGTGTATGTTTGTGTGTTTGTTTTTTGTTTGTGTGTGTGTTTGTTTGTTTGTGTGTGTGTGTTTGTGTGTATTTGTGTGTGTGTGTGTGTTTGTCTTTGTGTGTGTGTGTGCTTATGTGTGCGTGCGTGTGCTTGTGTAAGTATACATATCTCCATAATCACAACAAACTTTCATCTCACCTTTAATTGCCCTTAATTCTCCCCCCCCCCCTTCCAGGAGGAGAGGTGCCCCGACCACGGCTCCCGCTTGGCCTTCTGGTGCTCGAGCTGCGAGAGTGCCACGTGTGGGGAGTGCCTTTTCGAGAGCCACCCGCGCCCCGACCACGATGTCCTGAAACTGGAGGATCACTTCAAAAAATTATGGGAAGTAAGTCTTTTTTTTTTTTTTTTAGAAAGTGTCGCTGATGCGTTAGGGTTTTGCTGGGCTGTTCCCTTGTATGTATGAGTGTGTACATTTATCCATGTGTATATATATACATAAATAAATAAATACAGACACACACACACATATATATATACACACATGTATATATCTACCTTACACCCTCATACATACAAGGAAGTTTTATCCATTATATATACTATATATAATATATATACATATATGTATATATGTATATATATCGACGGCCACCATCAGTCGATGTCGACTATGACATTATTGTTTCTACCCTACTCCGGAGTAGGGTAGAAACAATAATGTCATAGTCGACATCGACTGATGGTGGCCGTCGATATATATACATATATACATATATGTATATATATTATATATAGTATATATGTATGTATTTATATATTATATATACTATGTATGTATATATGAAAACTGCAATAATGCAATGCCGCATTGGTCTAGTACTGGCCGTCCGGTTTCACGCCCGGAGTGACCTATGTTTGAGGCCCGGTCAGGGAGGGTTGATATATACCTATATCAATGCGGTTTTTCCATCTTTCACACACACACACACATACACACACATGCATATATATATATATATATATATATATATATATATATATATATATATATATATATATATATATATATATATATATTTATATATATATATATATATATAAATATATATATATATATATGTATATATATATATATACATACATAGTATATATAGTATATATATATATATATATATATATATATATATATATATATATATATATATATATACACATATGTACACTATATATATATATATATATATATATATATATATATATATATGTATATATATATATTCATTCATTAACATATCCAACTATTGTTTATGTATCAATTCATTTACTCACTTAGCCTCTTTAGCCTCCCCTTCACCCAGTCCACTTACCCGCCTCTCTTCCGCCTTCTCCCGCCCCCTTCCTCTTCCCGCAGGAGGCGCAGCAGCGATCGAACCGCCTCGTGCGCCAGATGTCCCACGTGTCCACGGAGAACGTGTCGATGCTGAAGGGCGCCCTCGTCGAATTCGCCGAGCTCCTACGGCAGAGGCGCGAGATCGACAGCATCCAGGGCGAGGCGCGGGCGGTGAGGGACGCGGCTAAGGGCGTCGGGGGGCTTCTCGACCTCTCCGCCGTCAGTAGGGCCATCCTGAGCCTGCAGGAGAAGTTCGAGAGGGCCGGGATTGAGACGCCCACGAGGGTCAATGTCACGGGCGCGAGGACGTCGAGTTCGGGGACGCCCAAAGGAGAGGGAGCGACGCCCGTGAGTGAAACGCCCGCACGCACATGGGTAGAGACGACAGGCACGCCCGTGGAAGAGACGCCTTCCACGCCCGCACGTGAAACTTACACTACGCCCGAAGAGATAACGGCGTCCACGCCCGTAGATGAAACTTACGCTACGCCCACGGAGGAGATAACCACTGCCACGCCCGCATACGAATCTTCACCTGAGGATACACCCGATACGCCCGTCAATGAAACCCACTCTGCGCCCATGGAGGAACAGCCCAGTACGCCCACGGTGACCACGCCCGTTCCACCCGCAGTAGAGACACTCACGCCACCCACGAGGAACAACACCACGCCCACATCTCCGCCCGCGAAACCAACCAAACCCCCCCTCTCTCGCAAGCCTGCTCTGCCCTTTCGACCGCCCGCGCTTACGCCCAGACCAACGAGCTTATATGGACTCGAAATCGCTCTTCCTGGCTCTTCACCCACGCCCATTTGTGCCTCGCCTCTGACCTCGAAAACCACGCTCACCACGCCCACCATCTCCACCACGCCCACTGTCGATGCGAGCACACAGACGCCTCCTGAAGACACGTGCGTGAAGACAAGAGACAGCCCCCCCGCGTCTGGGAGTCTGTTGAGTGAGTTTCTTAGTTGTTATAGTTGTATCTTCTTTTTCTTCTTCCTCTTCTTTTTTTCTTTTTCAATTTTTCCTTCTTCTTCTACTTCCATTTTTCTACTTTCATTTTCTATTCCCTCTTCTTGATTTTTTTTTTCTAATTATATTTCCTCTTCTTCTTATATTTCCTCTTCTTATATTTCTTCCTCGTTTTCAATTTCTTCTACTTCAATTTCTTCTTCCTCTTTTTCTTCTTCTTCTATTTCTTCTTTTTTTTCTAGTTCTTCTTCGTTTTATTTTTATTTTTTTCTTCTACCTCTTCTATTTCTTCTTCTATTTTTTTCTTTTTACCCTTCTTCATTTTTGTCTTCCTCTATTTCTTCTTCTTCTTCTTCTTCTTCTTCTTCTTCCCTATCTGTTGTTCTACCCTTATTCTCTCTCTATTTTTTGTCTCTTCGTATATTTTTCTCTTTATCCTAAATATATTGCCAAATATATAGACAATTTTATTTTTTAAATCAATAAATGTATCGATGATGAACAAACAAATAGACAGATAGACAGTCAAATGGATAAATAGATGGAAATATATATATATATATATATATATATATATATATATATATATATATATATATATATATATATATATATATATATGTAGAGAGAGAGAGAGAGAGAGAGAGAGAGAGAGAGAGAAAGAGAGAGAGAGAGAGAGAGAAAGAAAGAAAAAGAGAAAGAGAGAGAGAAACACAGACAGACAGACAAACAGACAGAGAGAGACAGAGACAGAAGAGATACAAAGAGAGAAAAAGATAAAACCTTCCTACAACTACAACTCAACCAGCAACACAAACCAAAATGCACTCCTCTCCCTCCCCCCCTTCCTCCCCCCTGCTCCTAACCTTCTCTCCTCCCTTCCTCTCTTCCACTCCTAAAACAGACACACACACACACACACACACAAACACACACACACACACACACACAAACAAACACACACACACACACACACACACACACACACACACACACACACACACACACACACACACGAGAAGAAAAATCACTCGAAATCACCTTCTGATTCTCTACCTACCTCGGCCTCCACTGGAATCTACCTTCACTCACCTTTACCTAGTAATTATCACAGAAAAGGGTGTCTTCCATCATAGCTATTCTCTATGCTATGGGATTGTGGCCTGATGTATGGGACTAAATTTTCTATCGTCTGTGGGAAAGAGCTTTGTTGTTGTTGTTAATGTTGTTGTTTGTGATTAATGGTTGTTGCTTAGTATGGGTGTGTAGGGTTGTAATGGTTAACTGGATAGTGGTTAGCTCTGTGGTTATGCTCTTTGTTTGTTTGTATGTTTGTCCGTTGTTGTTTTTTGTTTTGTTTTGTTTGCCTGTTTCTTGCTCTTTCTCTCTTTCTTTCAGTTTGGTTGTCTCTGTCTGTCTTTCTGTCTGTCTTTCTTTCTGTCTGTCTGTCTGTCTCTCTCCCTCCCTCTCTTTCCTTATCTATCTATATATCTTTCTCTCCCCCCTTCCTCCCCTCCCCTTCCTATTTCCCTCCCTCCCTCTTCTTCACCTTTTCTTCCTTCTAGCATTTCTTGTACCACATCAAAGCAAGTTGCAAATCTGCAGATATAACATCAACGAACTTTCTCCTGCAAGAATGCAACGACCAAGCAACATTATCTCTCTATCACTTCACCTGTTATCACTCATTCTCTAAACCATTCATTCGCACTGAAATTTCCAACCAAAAGGGAAGAGGAGGAAGGAGAAGTTTAAAAAAGAGAGAGGAAGGAATTGTAGAAGGGAGAAATGGAGGGGAAAGTCAAATGTAAAGAAAGGGGAATAGAAGGGAAAAATGTATAGGAGGAAAAGAAGCAAAACGAAAGGGAAGAAAGAGAGCGAAAGAGCAACGATGATAATAATAATGATAATGATAATAACAACAATAATGATAATAATAGTAATAATAATAATAATTATTATTATTTTTATTATTATTATCATTATAGTAACAATAATAACAATAATTATAGTAATAGTAACAATAATAACAATAATTATAGTAACAGTAACAATAATAACAATAATGATAATGATAAGGATAATAATAACAGTAATAATAATAGTAATGATAATAATAATAACAATATTAATAATAATAATAATAATAATAATAATAATAACAGTCATAATATCAATAATATAATAACAACAATAATACTAAAATAGGCCCTTCACGAATCTTTTCCCAAACTGCCAACCGCCGAACACAAACCTCTCATCTATTCCCAACGAGCGCCTGGCAAAACATCCTGTTAAATCGATCCTGTTTATACTATTACCAATTATTAGCTCTTTGTACAGTGTTGTTGGACCCATTTGTACTTTCTCATTGCCTGAGAGTTGTTTTGTGCTCTCGTGTGCCGATTAGTGCTTGCTATAAGTCTTTATTTTTGGGCAGTGCTTGATCACCTGGGCTATGATTAAGCGTTAATTGCACTTGGGTCGGTTTTACCTGTGCAATTAGGAAGGATGCCCGGTGGGTTGCTCGCGTCCTTTTGGGAATTAATCATGGCTTCTCTGGGGTTTTTGTTGTTGTTTTTTTTTTTTTTGTTTTTGTTTTTTTTCTTCGCTTTTTCTTTCCTTTCTTTTCTTCTTTTCCTCCCTGTTTTTTTTCTGTCTCTATCTAAATCTCTTTTCTGTTTACCCCCCCCCCCTACCCCTTGCCTCTCTCTCTTTCTCTCTCTATCTATCTATTTATCTATATCTCTGTCTATATATCTATCTATCTCCATCTCCATCTCCTTTTCCTTCTCCCTCTTCTTCTTCATGCCCCCTCCCTCTCCCTTCCCCCTCCACCCTCTCCCTCCCACCCCCCTACCTCTCCCTCTCCCTCCACCTCCACCCACCCATTCCCCTTCCTTCCCAACCTCCTTCTCTCACCCCCTCACCCCCTTCTTTCCAACAGAACCCCCCAGGGCCCTCTCGTCACTCCCCCCCTGGTCAAGCCTCCTCTGCGGCATCTATAACTCCAACTGGACGTCCGGAAAGATAGCTATGGAGCCGAAAGGACTTCATGTCTACTCTCTGCATCCTATGAAGGAAAAGTGTGATCTATTTCTTCATGTAAGTGTTATTGGTCTGTTTATCTGTTCATCTGTTTTTTTTTTTTTTTGTTTTGTTTCTTTTTATTTTATTTATGTGTTTTATTTATTAATTATTATTATTATTATTATTATTATTATTTTGGGGGGGTTATGTGCGTTGTTCTGTTGTTTTTTCTTCTTTTTTTCTTCTTTCTCCTTTCTTTGTATTTTTTCTTCACTTATCTTCTTTTTCACTTTTTTTCTTCTTTCTTTATCTTCTCTTTTACCTCTTTTTTTCCTTTCATCTTTCTTTGTTTTTTCTTTCTCTTTTCTTCTTCTTTTTACTTCCTTTTTTTCGCTTCTTGGTCTTATTTAACTATTTTTTTCTTTTTCTCCTTATTTTCCTCATTTTTCTTCTTTTCTTCCTCTTCAATATTTTCTTTTCTCTTCCATTTAATCTTTCCCTATTTTTAAAATTCATATCCTTTCCACATTCTCCTCCAGTTATCTTTATCTCTATTTATCTTTCTCTCTTCCCTTCTCTTCTTCTTCTCTCTCTCTCTTCTTTCCTTTCTTGGTGTCAAGTTGGGTTTCTCTGGCCATTATTGTCATCGTTAATTTGTCAAGTAAACGGATTATTGACTAAACACTCTTTGCTTATATCTACACCTTAAAATAAGAGAGAGGAGGGGATAAAAGATATGTATAAAGATATTGATAAATAATGGAGAAAAGAGAGAAAATTGATGATGATGACATAAAGGGGTCGTTCGTTATGTTGAGCGGCAATTGCACGTCGTTTGTTGCAAGCTCTTAAGCGAAGAGTTGGGTCGAGTTCTCCTCCTTTGCAATCATGAATGGTGCACACGCCCCTCTCCCTCCCCCCCCCCCCGACCCTTCCCCTCACCGACTCCCCTCTCCTCCTCTGTCCTCTCCCCCCCTCCACTCTCTCCCCTACCCTTTCCTTCCCCTTCCTCTCCTTCTCTCCACTCTCCCTCCCTCTTTCCAATCATCCTTCCCTTCCCCCCCCCTTCTCCCTCTCCCTCTCTCCCATCACCATCTCACATCCCCCCCTCCCTCTCCTCTCTCCCCTTCCCCTCCTTCCCTCCCTTCCCTCATCCTCCCCCCCCCCACCCATCCCCATCCCCCTACCCTCCCCCTCCTCTCTCCACACTCTTTCTCCCCCCTTCATCCTCCTCCACCCTTTCCCCTACCCCTCCTTCCTTCATCCTCAAACCCTTCCCCCTCTCCCCCTCCTCCTCCCTTCCTCCTACCCCTCCTCCTCCCTTCCTCCTACCCCTCCTCCACCCTTCCCTTCTCCCCCTCCTCCCTTCTTCCCCCCCCCCCCGCCTCTTAATTCTATTATCTCGCGAACATCTTGGGCGTCTTCAAGATTACGATCGGGATCAGGTGGCAGCCACGAGACTCTCCCGAAGAAGGCAACGAAAGCGGCCGTTTCTGTGGTGCGTTTTTGGCCCCGCGAGCGAATTTGCATTTTCACATGAGCTGCGTTTTGCTAAGTTTTAGTGTGTAAGCGCGGGTTTTTATTCTGTATATCTGTGGGTTTTTTTCCATGTTGTATTTTTATTTTTATTTTTATTATTATTATTATTATTATTATTATTATTATTATTATTATTATTATTATTATTATTATTATTATTATTATTATTATTATTATTTCTATTAATATTACTTTCTTTTATGTGTGTGGTGGATGTGAAAGTTGTTTTTCTTTTTTAATTTTCGAAGGTTGAAAATCATACATGCATATACACATTTACACACACACACACACTCAAACAAACAAACAAACAAACATAATTGAATAATTATCAGGAAATGACTATCTTACGAAATAAAAAAAGTCCATAAGGTCGTTCCCTAATGCAAATCGTACCGAGGAATGTGTCTTATGCCCGTTACTCTAATGGGAATTCAATTTCATTCACCGAAAAACAGCTGATTAACCAGTCATAGCAAGAATGCAGTTTATTGTTAGCATATAAGTTGCTGTTTGTGATGTGTTCGACTTGTAATCACAATCTGACGATGGGTAATAAAGGATTGAAATTGATTACGATAGAGAAATCAAATCGTATTTTTTTCATGCGTATTTTTTTCATATATATATATATTCGTTTTTTCTCTCTATCTCACTTCTTTTCTTTTCTTTTCTTCTTTCTTTTTCTTCTTTTCTTTTCTTTTTTTCGTTTGTCGTCGTTTCTTTCATATTCTTTTCCTTTTCTCTTTTTTCCTTTTCTCTTCTTTTCGTTTCTCTTTTTTCTTTTCTTTTCTCTTTTCTTCTTTTCTTTTCTTTCTTTTTCCATTTTCCTTTTTTCTTCTTTTCGTTTCTCTTTTTTCTTTTCTTTACATTTCCTTTCTTTTCTTTTCTTTCTTTTTTTTTTTTCCTTTTTCCTTTTCTTTCTTTTCTTTTTCCTTTTTTCTTTTCTTTTGCTTTCTTTTCTTCCCCATTTTATCATTACGATTTTCTTCATTTCATGTCATTTCTTAATTGATTCATGAATAAAATGCAACATTTTTTCCCAGTGAATAATACTTTTTTTTCTTTATTTTTATTTTTCTTTTTTTTTTCTTTATAAATTGTTAATACAAATCCTCAGTTTCTCTCCTTTTGGGTCATACTTAACTGTGACCTCGTCTTGACCTCAAGCTATGACCTGTGACCTGTCCTCGCTCTCTCGTTGCCTATTAGATAATATATATTTTTAAAATATTAATCTTTAGCTAGTACTGTTGTTTCAGGTTTTGTTGTAATGCGTTGTTTTCATTGGTAACATTTTAATAGTTATTTTAATTTTTTTACGATATTATTATTATCATTATTGTTATTGATATTATTATTATTATTATTATCATTATTATTAACATTATCGATAATATTATTATTATCTTAATTATTATTATTATTATTGTTATTATTATTATTATTATTATTATCATTATTATTATTATTATTACTATTATTATTATTATCATTATTATTATTATTATTAT